GTGCTAGTCTTCCACGCAAAAATCTGAAATGTGCTAGTCTTCCACGCGATTAGTGAAATGTGCTAGTCTTCCACGCGAGAATCTGAAATGTGCTACTTTTCGACGCGAATAATGAAATGTGCTAGTCTTCGACGCGAATAGTGAAACGTGCTAGTCTTCCACGGTAATTTGAGATGTGCTACTCTTCGTTGGGAGCGACGATATATTCATTGAATTATTTTGCAAAACAATAACTAAATAGGGAAGCGAAGGGTATTATAGACCACATAAGGAAAAATTTCTGCAGAAAAAACGGAAATCTGAGTTTTTGCTGGTTTTTTATTGGATAACACAGCCCAACAAAACTATAAAAAAATTTTGGTACGGCAAATGTTACAACTGTTTTTGATAGGAACCCTAATTTCGTTCCTTAAGGAAGAAAATGCAAAAACCAGATAATTGTTTTCATAATTTATACGTAATTAAATAACAATTGAAATTCTGGATACCATAAAAATTAGAGGGCTGCATGAATTCATTCAAACTTCTAGCCAAACAGAGTACAGTAGATTTGAATATTTTACTTCACATACAAAACACTCAGCGTTTGGAATTTTCTAAGTTATGAATATACATTTTGTTTTATATTTTCTACCTTCAAATGGAAGAATGTGAATGAATGAATGGAAAACATCCAAATCATTCAAACTCATTTCGAAAAAAGTTTTTTTCTACAAACAAGTTTTTTCGTATATAATAGGAGCGCAGCAATACATACATACATACATATGTATGTTTATACATATGTGCATAGAAAAAATATTTTTGGATGTTCATACAAAAAATTGTCATTTATTTCAATTCATTTTATTTTCACTTTATTTGAATATTGTAATGTCGACACAAATATCAGAAAGCTATTCGCTCAAATTCAAAAAAATTTTAAGCCAAAATCATTCATTCGTTTTGTATATGAATAATTCATAAGCCGTTTTGAATGCATTCATGCAGCCCTCTAATAAAAATCAGGATAGTAATAATTAGGGCAACCCAAAGTGCACGTTCACATCGTGTTTATATAAAGTTATTTTACGTGTGAGAAAGATGATAAAAGTTGTCCCGCCACTGACCCGCCATGGCGCATCCTAGGACAACTTCATGTTAAATGCGACAGCAGAAAGCATGGGTGGTAGATTTGCGAGGTACCGGTATTCGACTCCCGAGCTCCCGACTTGTACTTTCCGCTGCAGGGAGCATATGTATCTATGTATGTAGAAACATGCACAGTATGAATTCCTATGTGAAACAATTTGTGAATTAGATGCCATGTACTTTCATACATATGTTTTAAAAACAAATTGAATAAATATGAATTATCCACATATTAATACGCTAACATAAATTTTGTCTCCGTTCGTTTGGCGATTCTACTGAACCGATTGGTTGGAAATTGAGGCCAAATCGTGGTTTGAAAATCCCTGCATTTGTGTAAAGTTGTTTTTGCGACCTTTTCAATTTGGGGTGTTTTCGCATTTTGTTTCACTTCGCGTTTTAAATTAAACTTTAAAATAAAGATAAATATGAAGATGAGGAAAAAAATGATAACGATGAAGACAAAAAAGAAAAGGCAAAAGTGAAGATAAAAACGAAAATGGAGACAATGAGAACTGAATTGAAATTTTTCGATAGGAATCGAAATAAAATCAGCCATAAAAGTTACCGAAATTTATCGAGTCATCGAAGTTTATAATTGTCGAAATTTATCCATGCTAATTAAGTTATCGCAACGTATCGAATTATTCAAATTGATCAATGTTTATTGAGTTGTCGAAATTTATAGACACAGAAACTTAGTTATTGAAATTTATAGATAGCTATCGAGCCATACAAATGCGTGGGATTATCGAAATTTGTTAAGTTAAAGAAATGTATCAAGTTATAGATATTGTTTGAATTATCACTATTTATAGACTTAACGAAATTTATCGAGTTATCGTAATGCATGGAGTTCTTTCAACTTACAGTTATCGATAATTATTGATCTACTGAAATTGGTTGCTTCATCGAATCGAAGTTTATGGAATTTTCAAAATATATAGATTTTTCGAGATTTCAAGGTTATATAAGCTTATCGAGTTATCACTGCTTATCGAATTTCATCATGTTAACAGAGTTTAACGAATCATCGAAATTTTTCCATAGCTTTCGAAAAATGAGGAGTTGCAAAAGTAAAAATTTATAAAGGTATCCAAAGAATATATGCTCATTGTTGAGTTATCGAAATTTATCGAGCCCTAGAATATCACAGTTATCGAAATTAGTCGAGTTATCGAATTTCGTTGAGTTATCGGATTTTAGTGTTTTTGAAATTCATCGAATTATCGGTATGTATCAAATCATTGAAATTTATCGATAAACTGAAATGAATCGGGTCAATTCCAAGTCCTGTTGACGTTGTTGCGAAACCGTTTTCAAATTAAATGGAACCTTTTTCAGATTAAATGAAATTTCCTTTTTTCGTTTACTGTGGAATCGCTGTTACGTGTTGCCTTTCTTTACAACAAGGCTTATTGAATTAGTTATAGCAGTAAAAAATCTGCTTTAATTTTTTCCAATTTATATATTTGGACTTTAAACTGCCAAAGTTTGTACATATATTTTTTCCTATTCATATTCAATAACAATTTGTTTCTCATTCTATTATGAATTCGACCCGTTTCCAAGTATTTATTCAGGAGCTATTAAATAAAATTGAATGTAGATCAGAGCCATGGGCGCAGCCAGAATGAAATTAAAGGGTGTGGGAGGGGTGGTAGACTCGAAACTATTAAGTTGTTCGCGCATGGAATTTTACCTTCGAAAATGCCTTTTCTGTGGTTTTCAACAAAAGAGAGTATTATTATCCACCATATCTCTTATTTCTTGGGATTTATGAATTCTGGCATTATCTTTAACAAAAAATTAATTTTGTAACTCTGATCATGGGCGTAGCCAGGTTGGGGAGCGCCCTTACTTGCAAGTTTTCCCATGGGCGTAGCCAGAATGAAATTTATAAGGAAGCTCGAGGATAATGCCAGAATGTATAAATCCAAAGAAATAAGAAATACGGTGGATAATAATGGATGCTTACCGAAATTTTTGCCAGCCCGATGTTTTTAAGTAATTGAAGAAAGTAACGCACGAATTAGTGAAAATGATCATCCAAATTCCGAAAGCGGCGAATGGACAAGCTCTCCATTAATTTTATAAACTATGACTTAGAGTCGTTTGCATCAAGTCCGATTAACAATTTTCCCGAGCTTAACATCATAATCGGCGTTATCGACTTCCTGTTATAAGAATGGTGTCGATAACGATGTATAATTAGGGGTAAGTGTTAGCTAGACATGGTGCAAATGGCTCTTAATAAGTTAAGTTGATTTCCTGTTCCTGAACTCAATAATGTTTAATACTTAATTTAAGAATGTTTCATTTAATTTGAAAATGTTTCGCTTAACCCCATTTTATTTGAAAAAGGTTTCACTTAATTTGAAAATGGTTTCATTTAAACTGAAAATGCTATATATACATACCCACAATTAGCTCTTCCCCTTCCGTTTTTAACACTTATGTACACATATCTACAGGGATATTTTTTTTAAATTACCTTGCGTGAAAATCATTGATGTGAATTATAGATAACGGAAAAAGTTCGGCACTGATAAGTGGCACTATAAGAAGGATTATTGTTATCGATTTCATATTGCACCACGAATCCATTCAAGGCCTTTCCCTCCAATTTAGCGGGCCCGTAGTGTGAATAGGTTGACACGCCGGCACAGGAATAACTAACAGCTGAAATGTAGCACATAATATTAACAACTATGTATCTCGAATCTTTATGTATTTGCAGTTAATCTTTATTGATGTACATATGTATGAACATGTGAATATGCCAAGAGTAATACGACAATAATGCGATAATAAACAATAAAACTCTTATAGATATCTAATCAAATCAACTCTACTCAAGTTTTCAACCTAGTCCGGTAAAGAGAAACGGGTATGGGGCATTCTCAACGGTGTCGTAAGTGTCGTATTGTTGTATGTCGTTAACTTTAAACGCCTAAAAAAATATATTAAGGGGATTCGCAAAGTACTATCAAAGTCATGCTATGAATTGTTGTAGTATTAAAAAATAGTTGGTTGTCAAGTCAAGTTCTCTAAACATTTATTTAAGCTTTTAAAGTTTACGACATACAACAATACGACACCGTTGTGAATCCCTCAATAGTCCATTATTTAACAATAAACATATGTATACAAGTTTCAAAATTTGTGTAAAATTTTTAAAATTCATTAAATTTTAATCAAAATTTAACACGTTTTATTCAGATTTTTTAGGAAATTTTTGGGTATGAAGTTTTATAGCCCATTCAATTTTAATACGACTAAGTGCAACATTTAATGAGGCTGAAAGCTACCGCAGATGTTTTCTACATATGGGCCAAATCGGCGAAAACGAAACCAAGGTGGAACATTTTTTTCTGAGGTTTTGTAGATTTTGGATTATATCTGGGTCATACATATTCTAAGGTATCGGACAACATCAATATTAACACGAATCTCCTTCTCTCAAACATGAAAATTCACTTAATCTTGAGACACCTTTAAATAAATGAAAATGAAAAGCGCACAACATGAAACTAAAGGGTAGTTTATATTTAAGAACCACCATGTTTTGGCAGTATACTTGCTTCTTTATGCTTTTCTTGCATTATTTTGAAGTTATTAAGAAAGTACTCGGCAAAAAATCAGCGATTAGCTTTATATATGAAAATAAAGTCGGCTGTATTTTTTAATGTAATGTAACAGTGGAAAATATTAAAAAGTTTTTGTAACGTAACAGTCTTTTTTACTAATTGAATTTTCAGGTAACCTTTTTTTCTTATTTAGTTAAAGATGGGGCTCATTTTGGAAGCAACATTGGAAGCTTTTCAACGTGTTATTGTGCCATAGTTAAAATTTTACTTTTTCTAACTTATATAAACTCAGAAGATAAGAGTTACGTAGAAAAATAAAAATCGCGAGAATTATATTATTTTAAAAAGGAACGAGCTAAATAAGAAGCTAAAAGAAGAAGAAGATTTTCGGATTGAATAATAAACATCTATTGGAATTATTTCACCTATTTTTCTAGTACTATTATTATTCTTCAAAATGCCGTGTACTTGAATCTAGCATTTGAAGGGTTAGAATAGTAGCCATTAAAGCCGTTTTTCGTGAACTTAACCGCGAAAAACCTCAACATCTTGGCGCAGTTCTAAGTTCGAGCTCGAGTTCTACGCAGAAAATTACTTCGGAAACGAACTACAGCTCAGAAACTTTGAAATCTGTATTCATAATTATCATGTTCTTAATTTCTTTGAATTACATGTCACATTACAAGACTACTGAATTCATGCTACTTGTTGCATAAAATACACTAAAAGCTATTCAAAAACCTAATTATAATCTTATAGCTACTCGTATATCGCACTGGTAATGTAACAGTCTTTTTCTGTAACGTGCCAGTCCGACTATTTTTTACGAATATTGACCTTAAAATTAATTTTATCAGTTCAATAAATACTAGGGATGTTAATTTTTCAGCATTTTCCGATCCCGGGAGTTTCGGGATGTCGTTATCACAATCCCGGGATCCCGGGACTAGTCTCGGGTTTGGGATGTTCATTACTTTTCAACGACTTAAATCGAAAAAATTGCTTGTATATTGTTTGAGAAGCTCTCCTACCATAAAATAAATAATAAATAGATGGGTTTGAAACCCTTTTTTTTACTTAAAATAGCGTTTTTATTTTTTCTCTCTGACGTCAGGACTTATTTTAAAGGACTTTTTAATTTCAAAGATATGATTAATTCCAAAAATTATTTAAAAAATTCAATGCAATGTAGAATTAAAAATATGGGTACCAAATGCAAGAGGAAATTTTTTAGGATTAAAAAAAAACATTTTTTTTTGCAATTAATTTTTTGCAGGTAATTTTTTAAGCTGAGGAAGTGAGAGGGACGAGATTCGAGGCTGTTATCGATTTTATATAAGTCCTTAACATATAATTTTTTTTCCAAAACAAATATTGCGAAATTTTAAGGATACAATTTTTAAAAGGACATTTTCAATACTTACCAGTCCTTCGGCACCAAAAACTTTAATTGATTCTACCTTTTCTGTAAGCACATTTCTCTGAGTTTTTAGATCAATTTTGAATCACTGACGTCAGAGTGAAAAACTAAAAACGCGATTTTACTATATTTGGCCCATGGTTTCACGAATATATTAATATTTGTGTTAAAAATTTACTACCGCGCGGTGTTATGTATATGTATAATGAGCTAGACATTCATAAAAAAATATTAAATATTAAATAAAAAAAAGAAATATAGCCAATACTGGTCAAGAAAAGGAGTTTCTATTACCCAGCAAACATTGAGGTTAGTTATCGATTAGAGACTGATTGGAGGGCTAGCCACATTCTCCAATCTCAAACGTTAGAGAACGACTCGAAAAACTATCGAGAATCATAGCGATCTCAACAAAAATGGTACATAGTTCTCGACTCGAGAAAATATTAATTCTCTAATCGTATTCCAATGTTGATCTCTAATGGGATTCGAATGTGAATTTCAAACTGCTGTTTTGCCTTGCTTTGTTTGTAAAATTTGTATTAAATGTATTTGCAATAAAATAATAATGAATTATTTGAACTTAAAAATAATGTATGAGTAATTCATTTGGAATATTGTTTATTTACATTTATTTGAATTCGCGCTGTTTCTCTAATCGTTCTCGAATCGAATTCTAATGTAATTCTCTAATTTTGTCATCGGCTCGAGAACGATTAGAGAATTACCCTAGTTATCTAATGTAGAAATCCAAATTTCTCTAACGTTAGAGACTGTGTTTGCTGGGTATTGCCATCAGTGCAAATTACAAATCCCGAAAATCCCGGGAATATGTGCCAAAAATCCCGAGATTTTGGGGACCTTAAAAAGACCGGGATCCCGGGAATTAACCTTCCTAGTGAATACGTAGTTCTTGAGTTCCATCCTTAAGCTAGGAAACTGTGTACCAACTTTTGAAAACATTGCATTAGGAGAGCAGACTTTTTCAATAATATAAAGCAACTTTAAAAAGTACTTCCACAAATTGTAATGCAACAGTCCGCTGTTGAAACGTTCATAACTCCTAAACAAGAGCAGCAACAATCTATTTTTTGTATATATTGAGTTATGCTTTCAGATGCAAGAAGAAAAACTATCCGAAAATTGTATTCTCGCGAGTTTCAGCAGTGTTTAAAAAGGAGTGTGAGCCAAAAAGTAATCCACAATCCGCGTTTTGGGCCATATACAAATGCGAGCATTTGCGTGAACTTTCACTTGGTAGGTAGTTCCCTGTTCAGAGCAACATCCAGAAAGAAAAAGTTTGCTTCTGCCATGAAAAAGCTTCTCACAATTTGCTGTTCCACTTGTGTAACAACATCAACACGCACACCAAAAATTGGAGGAGAAACTCGGCCAAAAGCTTAGCAAAAATGTAAGCGGCAAAATAATATTTATTATCATTATAAAACTGCATAGCAAAAAATTCTCAATAAAGTGTGACATTTTGTTTTTTATTTATTTTAAGTTTCTTATTTGGATTTACATGTATTTGTTATAGAATAAACTATATTTTTATATATAAGGTGACGGGTGTGATATTTCAACTGGCATTTTAAGGCTTAATTCTTAAACTGTAATACAAAATTATTTAAAACGAGTATTTTGTAATAGGTTTTCGAGATATACACAATGCCTAGAATAAAAATTTCAAAAACAATTTAATCCGAACGAGTTATCTGAATTTTAGTCACTACTTGCTAAAGACGGGATAATCCTTGATCAGACTCTTCTCCATTGTATGCCTTAGTAATTGTAAAGTACCTTATTTTTAAATAGTATGATGTCAAACCGAGGCCGTTACCTGTAAAAACCGTTTTAGATACTTTTTTGCCCTGACAAGCGAAGTAATGGTTTATTTTTATCCGTGACAGCATAGCTTAAGTTTTCCCATCGCTCGAGCAACATATCTTTATGATTAGCTTTATCGTCGCTGATCACAAACAGATATATAACATATTTCAGATTAGCAGATAAGTAACGGTAGCAGTCCCTGGAAGGATTTATTGAAGTTTGTCAAACTTTAAATTGTGACGGGTGTGACATGTTAAGGGCGTGACCAACATAATCGGTCCTTTTTCGAAAATAAAAGCATATAAATACTTAAAAGCATTTCACACATATTTCCCTGTGTCATAGCATTACTTTCGTCAGCTTTTTTACACTGTCCAAGATGTGTTTTCCTTCAAAAAATAACTATTTTGTGTATTTATTTTTTATTTGTGTGACATTAAAATATGCTTTGATTCAATATATAATAAAATATTTAGTACTTGCCCGAAAAATTTAAAATTACGCCGTTACAATGCTAACGAATTTTTCTCTTCACTGACGGCTTAAACAATGTAAAAAAGGTAATAGACGACGAAAACCAGTCTTGTAAATTTTGAAAAAAATTAACCTCATATGCGTTTGTAAATGGTACAACCTAAAGTAAAAAAATATCGGATTTTGAGATAAATTTCAGAATTTTGGCTTTCAGTCTTGAAAGTTAGATTTATTTACTCTTACTTACTAGAAATAATACAGTCATATTCTTTAGTTTATTTTCGTTTCATTCGGTATCGATTACCGTGGAATGAGCCATAAGTAAAAACTTATCAATATGTGGCTGACCTTATCTTTATGTGCCTCAC